AAGCCCTATGAGAAACACTGACCTAGCTGATCGACACTCTTCTTTCGGAATCAACAGTTTTATGACACAACAGCCATTTGCTGCTCCTGACACCTTAACACGATAGTGCTAGCAATGAATGCAAAGCGGAGCGTAATCCAACGTGCTTTGCGGATGATAGCACGATTCCGAAATATTAGCTGATATCGCACCAAAAAGTATCATTGCAGAATTACTGTATTATTGATTCGTTCATCTCATTTAAAACTTTTTAGAAAGATAAAAACCGATCCTTCCATGATTTGTAAATTGAAGACGTTACCAGAGGATATTAATTCAATTTATTGTATGAATACGAATGGAATAATGAATGATAATACATAATATACATATTCATCAAAATAATGCTCACATTATTTGAGTAAATATCACAATTCAAAAACAAAAAATCTTCAAATTCACAAAGAACAAACGCAGAGTACAAAAAGTCTCACAAAAAATGAACAATTCATGTGATTGCATGAAACAATATTTGAATAAGCCAAATGTGCAATGAATGAAAATGATCGTCAATAAGGCCAATTCAAATAATATTACAGTTGATTACAGTCGGTTTGCAATCTAATCGATGTTGCATTTTGAAAACACGGAAAAAAAGTTGAAAATAAACATAAATTGGGACAGTTCAGGATCAGAGAACGTAACTGATGATGGGAGGATCCAGACGACAATGAGAAAATTGATTTATTGGATTTTTATTCCGGAATAAACAATTACCCAGATGCGTACCGATCGCTCGATATCATCTTAGATTGTAAATTTATGAAACTGCTAAAAGAAGTTAATTGAAGATTATCCTTACACCCAACCAGACTGAAAACGTTTAAGAATATCAAAACTCTCGTTGTTGTTCAGAGATCAATTTGAATAGAAACAAGAATTCATTATTCTTGAGGATCACTTCATTATACAAAGCTGTGNTCAAGTCACGTTCTCACCAATTCGACTAAACAATTCAGTTCTGATTCCATGATATTTCTAACATCTCCTTCCCCATCAGAAATGCGCGTGCTAAGTAAAAGACAGTTGTCTTGACACATCTCTCTTAAGTTCATATAACTGTATGAACGATACGAACAAGAATACACCAGAAACCGTCGAAACAAATTATCACGCGACGTGGGCACAAACTTCTCTTGGGATTACATAAAGTATGAAAATCACATTGAAATATGAATGGCATAACATGGAAATGAGATTAAATATAAAATACTTCTAACGGTACGTTCACAAACAAATAAAATTTGTCGATTGAATTCAAATGAATTAACAAAAATGATCAGCTGTTGTAGCTATGCGAGTCTGTTGATCCCACCTTCTATTACATTTTAACACATAAAATTACTTTTAAAATCAAAAATTGTTCCTTTCGAAGTTCAACGCTTCGCAAATTACAGTCACCGTTCCAGTTAATCAGATGTTTTCAAACTGGAAATACGGGAAGCAAATAATTCTCAGATGACTGAAAAACAAACGGAAATGACCGTTTCCTCAAATATTTCATTCAGACACTGATCAGGTGTGAGTAGTCAAACAATTCGGAGGTATGAATCGGCAGAATCAAGCCAATCAGTCTTTTGTTGGAGAGTGAACCGCTTGCATAAGATTCTCAAGACAGTTTCAAAGCAACGAGCATTCGCTGAATTATCAATATTAATCGAATCAATACGCTTATCGTATTTCACATCCATCAAAAACATTTTGCTCGATGTGTTTCAATGAGAGAAGTTGATACATTTCACTCTGACGGTGATAATAAAATCCAGTGATTTCACCCTTCAACTCATCCAACGCAATATAATAAAATCCCGCAAACGATGCACCTGTCACATCCCGATTATTGCTTTCGTCTACCTTCAAAAATTGAAATCTTAATTACGTACCAAAATTCATTATTTATGATCTGTAATGGTAACAGGAATTAATTTGTGATCAGTGACCCTTCAATTTCACTTTTATGATTGCAGAATGATTCGTAAACACTTTAAATGATTAAAGACCATTAAATGGCAGTTTTCATAATTGCAGTATAACAATTGTCTAGATAAATATGAATTTCTTTAACTTGAAAAAATACGTAGGAATATCTGCAATGGACTGGACGAATCCGGAGAATAACTGAAACAATTCAAGCCCATATAATCCAAAATCAGTATTCTCGAGTTACAACTAAGATAACATTCGAATCAAACTGAAGGTAACGCTTGCCAGGTAATGCTCCTTCCAACGCATATACATAACATTATCGTCCAACAACTTCGAATAATCAAACTGTTTCGATGTAATCGTATCCCCGTACTGCAATACATAATGATGCAGTATTATGGCAAAATTCTTTCGCTTTACTATCGGTCAACGAGTGAAACTGCAGTCCACAACGAGACTAATTTTTCATTTGTTGACGAATACTAATATGTACGGCAAGAATTCAAAATCAAGCTAACGATCAGCCTAAAACACTGAAAGATTATTGTTTGCTCAGAAACGTTTCACTTGGATAAATTGGTCGCTTATGGAAGAGACAGGGTGGTAAACGGAAAAGTTTTGAAAGTATTTCGTGATCGGCTTTCCTACAGCTAAAGGAGCAGTCAATCGACAAAACTGAATCAAAGTATGCTTTAAAGTTTATGAGATGGAATGCTTCTGCAAATGACTTCGTGCTTTCAACTACCCCAACAATATGACTCATCACCAACATACTTTTTCCTTAAAACCCGTAAATTTATGCCAATGGTTCAAGTCGGCCTCAACGTCTGCATCCCATTTATTCGTAACAAACGAGTGCTTCTCACTGATGATTTCACCGTGAAAGAATGTTGTCAATTCTTGTAATTGGGCTGTAAGACCCTGAAATTGTTCTCAATTCAAATTTCAGAAAAACACAACCTTTCCTCATTTATATGATGTTTAACTATACACTGAAGCGCCATAATTATTGCTGCGACCAAAAACTTGCAGTCAAACTGATTTCTGATTTCGTTTTATTCAAATTCACTCGTTGGTAAATTCCATTTGAACATAAATAATTATGAATTGAATAAATGATGAATTATTGTTCAGTCTTATTGATACAATCAGCATCAGTGAGTAGGAGTTCGTTAAAGAAATTCAAACTCAAAAACAAATAGTGCTATAGCGATAGTGGTATAGGTGCGGAGTGTCTCTGGGTGTACTGTTGCTCGTGTACTTGTTATTGTTCAAGGTTAAATATCAATTGTGTGTCCATATGAATCAAGCAAAAGTTATTATAACAAATATATGAATAATCCATTAAAGTAATTCATTACTCTGTTCATGTCTTTCAATGCCGTCTTCATTTGTTGGGAACGAGACATGAAGACAATACTCGCTCGATTCTTTCAGAAGATGCTCAATTCTGACGAAAACAAAAACAGTCGAAATGAATTTTAGGACCGCGAATTGGCGAAACGAAATTTTTTGTACAAAAATCGATTGTCATTTGACTGCGACACACAAATCCATTTTGTCAATATCGTTTTAGCAACCACCAAACATCCACACACAAACTCGTTCGTTCGGATGATAATGAGTTGGCATCGATATTACGAATAGTGAAAAGCGTTTAGAGAAAATGTATGTGCAAATACTAGCGCAAAGGGCACTTCATGCAGACATACGCACAAACATGTGCTTAAAAATCAGCTAGCGATCGATATTCAACGATTATTGTTGCATGGAAAGTCTCTTCAAATACAAAACGATAAGTGAAGCCTGATAAGAGCGCTTCTGAATGATACCTAGATGACTTCGATGAATCATTCGAAACCGTGAAATGCCTTGAGAGAGTGCCTGGGAATACTCAAGAACGAATAATCATTTATGAAACGAAATCAAACGGACAACTGAAACGAACTAATATTTCGTTGAGATTGTTCTCTTGGACTCTGTTCACTTCATCAAGTTCAACTATATCAATTAAACTTGCCATAGTATCTATTCGATTAAAGATTTGCACGAGAATTGACCGATGCCTATTAGCTGTTCAAAGGGAATTAAATAATCGAACCTTGGTATGAAGCGTACCATAGAGTCGTGCTTCAATTAGATCGACATCTTGTATTACAACTTCAACATCGAAACGATGATTTCTAGAACGTTGCGTACCACGAAACCTAAAAAANAAAAAATTGATTGTCTCATAGAGTAATTGTAACTGTTTTCATCACATCAATATCAGCAATGAAACGAATAACAAATGAATCAAGTATATTCGGACAAAATCTAAACTTCAGTGACAGTATAGGTCGATTAAAATTTTGAGTGCTGTTGATATCAGAGACGATAGATGAATTAGTTACATACCGTGCACCACAAAAGAGGTATCCACGAGGTAAGGAGTATGGTGGTCTTCCAAGTGGTAATGGTGGGTCATAAACGTGTGCAGACGGTGTTGCAGTGATCGCAAAACGTCCGGATTTCAGTTCATCGAGAACCATTTTTCGAGAAGAGACACACGCGTTTGGTGGTATTATTGGTGGAGCTGATGATGACGAAGCACTCAACTGAAACAACAAAATATCATCGGGTTAGTTCAGTGAAGTTTGAGATGTGAGCAAAGGATGGAGAGAATGCCAGCCTCATCGTCTTGCTGTCGAAGTTCGCCCAGGATTGGATGAGGTGATGAACGATTGAAGGTGAACCCTCGTGAACGAGATGATCTCAGAAGGCCACCATCCATCAGAATGCCATCATCACGGAACACACGCGCTGCGCGAAGACCCCTTTGAATGGCTGTTTCACGTCCAACGTCTCTGAATCGACATTTTCGTTAAATTTCAAAAACAGCAAATCAAAGTTTATATGCAGGTATGCAAGAAACCTTAAACAAATACTAACAGTTAGCATTACCCTTTACAAAACATCAAATATTGCTTCAGTTCGGTCGAACCTATNATCAATCGATTGCTACAGTAACATAGCGTTCCTCAATTTCAGCACATTCCTTCGATTTCAGACAGGTCTTACTACTCGTAACCTTTTGCATTATTTTAGTGACCTAATTGATGGCCGTCCAAGCGGTTTTCTGATGTTCCGGAGGCAACAGCATGCATTTGCAACAATTTTGAATTCACCAAATAGAACGGTGACTAGCAGTTGCAATCAAACAAACCTGAGTATTAGATCAGCACTGCCAACTCTGATGTTATCAGCCAAATGATCAGTGCGTCGTCTCCAATCGATCTCCTCCTGTGCATTCAGATCATCCTCGTCCTCATCAACTTCGGTCTTATCCTCATCCTCTCTGCGATCTGATCCATCATTGAAGAACAGAACATCCAAATCACGTTCTGCATCAACCATCGATTCAATCATACGACGTATGTACTCATGATCATCACTTTCATTCACGTTCAAATCATCACCTCTTGATGATGCATTGCCGCTTTCATTACCAGCATCGTCCATTTATGTGCGTAATTATCTGTTTATTTGCTTACTTCAGTCCAGTTATTGTTATGTAATCGTTCTCTTTTTGATAGCAATCAATCAGAGCGATCACACTGAATCCGCAAACGAGAACAACCCACAAACTGAAAATATTGTTATTGTTTTGATGATCGATCATTTGAGCATATCATGAAAACGCTTGAAATTGCGCGAGATCATTCACAATAACCGCAATTCGAACTGATGTTTATGATTGACTTAGTTTTTACTTACTTGTCTTATTGTATGGATATGCTTAATGTGATTTATGAAGTGTGCTCTAATTAGTTACTTCATAGAAGATGTAGGTGTGGGAATATAAAAGATATGAAATACAAGAAATGACTGAAATGAGGAGATGAGGAAACACTCAAAGAAAATTAGATGATTAAAACAATAAGCAATCAACGACGAATAAAATTAGGAGCAAATTATTCCACTCATTTGGAGTAATTCACTAAAATTGTTCGTCATACGCTTTCCCTGGTTGCTGCTTCCCTCTTTTTCCTTTCAAAAACTACACTCTCCACGATAAACTTTCTCGTCCTTGTAAACAAGAATACAATACGCTCGTTTCATCGAGAAACGTTCATGTCACATGAAAACATATCATTCATGAAAAAGTTGTTGGGCACTTTTGAAGTGACTAAAAAATGCACAAAACGTACTGAATCAATAATCGAGCGAGCAGATTATCGATACGAAATAAAGTGTAAGATATGATAAAGTAATCAGTGTCGTGAGCATCATTATCACCATCACTAACACAACTGCCGCACACGTCTTTCGTGTGCATCTGCTGTCTCTATGTCGGCTGCTATTGGATCCGTGCATCGATCCATCCATCCATCCATCCGTCGATGAGTTCGTCCGTGCACCAACTCAGCAACTCGTGCCCCTCTCGTCTACACCACCAGAATACAATCAACTCAACTCAACACAACGCACACACTCACTAACGCTTTTAACACGCACGCACACATCGATCGTTGTCCGCATTTTCATTCTGACCGACACGAGAAGACATCATACTCATTCACTTTTCACCGATAAAAGCCAGCGGAGCAGAATGCGGCACGCATCGCCCTATTCCGCACATCCAAAACTCCCGACACCAGTAAACATTCCGCGTGGCCGTTACGAATTGCGTTAATGTTTCCGTACAGAATAGTTCAACACCCTGTTCATACTACAAACTACACGTCAATGAGTCAGCTGATTTTGCACGAACCTCGAATGGCGGCGGCGACGAGTGAGTGAATGCTCATCGTATACGGTTAATGTCCAATAAAAAAAGCGTTCGAATGTGCAATGATTAAATATTTACTTAAGTGCGGCCATTATGAACATAGAGTTGTTGTTTGACAAGTGATCGCGATTTTGAAGATGAAACTTATAAATTTAATTGAAACACGAAAAATACGACATTCATGTGCGTTCGAATTCAACCCAACTGATGAGGTGGTGCAGCACAACCGTAATGAACAGTGGTGGTGTCGGATTGCACTTCCACTGACACTTCACGCCGAACGGACGCGTCGTTATTGTTCGACGCATTCGTTAGTGAATCATGAAAGAAAACGATGCACGGGTTCATCATTTGAGAAGGGTACCGCTGAACATTTAACTTGATCCATTCTCACACAAAAAAATCACAGAATATATCTGAAGTTCCGCTCGAACACCTTCACTTCTTCAGAT